TGAAATTGATACGATGATCAGCACTATGTGGAATGTGCTGATATCCAAATTGCTAGGACCTGGTAGATTATTGTAAGAACTTTGACTTTCATTTGAAGTGAACTTGAAAGCCTTTATGAAGTTTTGTGCAGAATGGCATGATATTAATTCATCTTTAGCAGTATAACATTGGTGTGTTTAAAATTTGTTGAGTACAGGTAGAAGCAAGGAGAAAGATCAGGAATATATTACAAAAGTAAGAAGTGATGTGTGACTTGAACCATAGCTTTGCTTTTAGAAAATAACTTTGGCAACAAGAAGAGAATGAGGCAGAAGTAATCATTGGGAAGCTGTTGCCATTAATTTTCATCTTAGCTTAGATGATTTGAGATGGAATAAATAATTGCAGAAAGATTACTATTGGACTTAACAACTGCTTGGTGATAGGGAATAAAATGGAGGAGGAAGACCGAGATGACATCAGAGTCTTTGACTTGGATAAATAGAATAATGAAGGAATTATTAACATAATAAAAACTTCCCTGAACCTCTGGGACATTTGGTCCGTGTTACACTAACATTTCTATTATTTTATTATTGATTATTATTAACCAATTGCCCTCCAGTCAAACAACTAGAAATCTGAGATCTGAACTTTAGAATTCAGGCAGAACTAAGATGTATTTAGGAAGGTAAAACTAGAGAATTAAAAAATACAGAAGCAGCCTATATATATATACATATTGAGTATGGAGAATGACTAGCCACTTTAATACAAAGTAACTTGGTCAGATTGAACTCAGTAGATTATATTAATCTTTGGATGTCATGGGAATACTTCCTTGGATCAATGCTTAAATGGTTTCCACTCATGCCCCTCTTTTGTCCAAAAAATGCAACCCAGACAAACACTGCTGGAAACATCTCAGATTCATTTTGTAGTAGATTTAGAAAGAATTTTTGGTCATAACTTATTCAGAGCTTTTTTCTCTTGCCAAATTTCCATAATCTCTACATTTAGCTAATGTGTCACATAAAGTTGTGTGACACACCATTTGAAAAAGTATCTCTAGGTATTGAGAGCAGAAGGCAGTTGCCTAAAGCTGGTATCTGTGAAATTTTATATTACATTGAATTATTTCAGTTCAGCCTCTTGACCCTAAAATCTTAGAGCTTAATAATGCTAACTGAAATGACCATATGTTTACTAGGAGTTAATACCTAGTAATAACCATATATTGTGGTCCTTATTCAGGTTATTTAGTCTTTTTATAGTTCAGTTTAATCATTTGTAAAATTAGTGTTTTTGACAAGATCCTATCAAATTCTATTACCCAATTTTAATAGTTTCCAATACATTCTGTGTGGTTTAATATAGACCCAACATACTGAATTTGAAAAGAGAGAGTAAAGAAGGAGAAAGTGGATTAAGTCTTTTCCTCTTGGATAAGGAGAAAATATTGCTAACAATACATGTTTCTTGCTTTTGTTCCCCATTATTACACTGTTAACCTATATTTTATTGCTATGTAGATTTAAACCATTTCAGGTATATGCATATCTTAGACAATTTGAATAAATAGAATCATATCTCCCCTTATTTTTTGTTTAGAGAAAAAGATGTTTCCTTTCTTTTGTTTATAACACCAAAGGAAGAAAAGCAAAGCAAAGCAAGAGATGCATGAATGGTTGCAAGAGACAGAAGGGCATATTCCTGAGGAAACTGCATAAAAATTAGGAAATAAACTAAATATAGTTTATTAGCTCCAGTTGACCCAGGGAGGGTGGTCCTTACTAGCATTCGGTGATACTTTTGAAGACAATTTCCTAAGTACTGGAAACCAATTCATAATGAAATTATCCAGTTCAGTAAGAAGTTTATATTTATCTTACGAAATATGAACTAAGAAGGAGTGTATGCATGAATCACCAAGTTCATGTGCAGCATGTGGTAGAAGGGTTAATTACAATTCCTAACAGGCAGTTCAAAATACCAGGTTCTTTCTTAATTATGTCTTAATTGGAGCTTCAGCGTATAATAATTACCCATCTTGGTGATTGAATATCATTCTTAGTTTTTTAAGCATCTATTGAATCATGCAATATTATTGAATTGTTAGGTATTACTTTAATATTGATTTACTTTAGTAATTCAAGCAGTGGAACCCATATATGTCTTATAGTAATTGTTAAACAATCTGTTAACACTATTTCCAGTGATTTTCTGAATTAGAAAACTACATGCTATAAAATTTCTTTTTCGCCCCCTGGCCCGCCTGGGCCAGAGCTGCGCACTCTCCTTTTCCCTAGGCGAGCGAGGAGGTATTACACGTGAAAGGATATTCGTGAAAGGATGTTCGAGGGCTTTCCAGGCATCTCTCTCTTGCCGCCTCTGTTTGGTGCTGTTGAGCTGCTTCTCCACCCGGGATGGCTATTGCCTTGGTTGGACGAGGAAGAATGTGGGCCAAACTGGTTGCTGATTAGTTGCCGTTTATTCAGTCTCTCATCTCTCCCAGCTCTCTCCAACCCTTTTTCTAACTCGCTCTACAACTCTCTCCAATCGTGACTCCTCTGCAATCTCCCCAGCCACTCTAACTATCATATCTCAGCCTTCTCTCTAACATGGTGTCTCTTGCAGTCTCCTGGCCTCTTCTGTCTCTGTCTCTCTGTAATCATTTGGCTGTCTCTCCTTCCTCTCTCTATCCCTGAAGCAATCTTCCTTCTCCTCCTAGCAGCTCTTTTTCTTCTCTCACCATGCCTCCCCAACCATCCCTCCCCATAGGAAGCGTGATCAACTTGTTTTTTCCACTCTTCCCGACCACCTGCAACCCACTAGGGCAAAATGACCCCTTTAAGGTGTGTTTCTCCTCTCCTTAGACCAGCAACTTAATTAACATCTTTAATTCTACTTCCTAATATTTACCATTGTGTATGGACACAGTAATAGACACTTTTAGGCTTGTAGGGTAACTCTCCTGGGGACATCTCACCACAGACTCAGACTACCGTGCTCAGGCCAGATCAATCATTCTTAACCCCAGTGTCCAAATCTAGTTATTACTTTTTGGGACATGACAGAATTGGTCCAAGACCAAGCTCTTAACTTATACTTAAGCATTATGGCTCTTTGGCCAGGCCCATTTCGATGCCAGGGTAGCTCATAGCTCACTGCTTGCCCTGGGTCCATCCAGTCCCTCATTGGGATCCTGCTTTTGGGGATCTAGGAAATAAAGGGCAACTGAGGCTTAAGTTGAGAGAGTAGGTGTCCAGGAGGTAATATTATCTGGAGTCAATCAACTCCCAAGCCATAGGATTGTCTTTTTAACTGTCTTCCTATATCATTACAAAAAGCATTGGCTCTGAAATAGCTAACCATGCAAAGGACATAAAGGAGAAGATAAAGATATTATTTACAAGTCATAGTCTGATCAGGAGACAAAGGTAATAGACAGGTTGAGGGGCAGTCAACAAACACAAGCTCCCAGCGGCCAGGGAGGAAGGGCAAACCAACGTTATCCTACAACATGCAAAGAAATAAATATTGGACTTGTGGAGAAATGAACATATGCTAACAATATCAGTATGATCAGTTGTATCATATTTATAATGGTCTCCTTAATTAAGAATTTTATCAAATTTTTTAATATTATTTATCAGTTATCAGATTTAGCACTAAGGGTGTTTTTTTCTTTCATTTTTTTCTGGCTTTTGACTTTTGGGCCAAATCTGGCATGGTCAGGGGTTACTACTGGCTCTGTGCTTCAGAATTACTCATATGGCTCAGGGAATCAAATGAGATGCCGGGGATTGTCCAAGGTTGGCCGCATGCAAGGCAAATGCCCTACCCACTATACTATTGATCCTGTACTATTTCAATATATTTCATTGTTATTAAATGACATGTTCCCTCTTTCATTAAAATAATTATTACAGTAAGAACATTATTCTAAAACTTTGAAAAAATTTTCAGGGTTTATGACTGCTGTATTTTTTCTCAGGTTTGAGTTTTCTCAGGTTGTGATGTGTAATCCAAATCTGATTTGCATATAACCTTTACTTTTTCTTCTTTTATTAAAGAAGTATGATTTGCAAAATTGATTGTTGAGTTTTAGGCGTGTAATATTTAACACCAATCCTACCACCAGCGTCAACTTCCCTCTCCTAGTGTTCCCATATTCCTTCCCTGCCTCTTGCCCCCGCCCCATCCTCACTTGTCAGCGTGACAGGCACATTTACAATATTCCTGTGGTCGCAGCTTAGATATTATGTTTTCAGTGTTGTTAAAGTCTGTGTTTTGGGTTTATGGCTATACCACTCTCCCATATCACCAGTATAACTGAAGCCCTGATGCCTGTTCACCCATTTCTTCTCTTCTTCTGCCCTTGATTTCCTTCCCCCACCTTCTCCTCCCTAACCACTGGGTTCAAGGGTGATACAGGAATTCCCTTTTACTACAATGTGTTTCCTCATCCAGTATTTTGTGAATAGAGTACTGATCAATGAGATCATCCTGTGTTTGTATTTCTTCTACTGGCTTAATTCACTCAACATGATATTTTCCAGTTCCAACCAGGTTGCAGCAAATTGCATGACTTCTTCATTCCTTGCAGGTGTACAATAATCCAACGTGTATATATATCATTATATATATATCATATCTACATAATCCATTCATCTGTCATTCAACTTCTAGTTGATTCAATATCTTAGTTATTGTACTGAGAGCAGCAGTGAATACTGGTGTGCATATGTCCTTTTGAGAGAGTCCTTTTTAATCCTGGGGGTAGAGGCCCCAAAGTGGAATTGCTGGGTGCAAATGATCTTTAAAACAGATAAATAATGCTCACCAAATACTCATTTTTACCCATAAGAGCTTTTTCCTTTCTAAAGAATTTACTTTCTTAAATTTTTAAACTTTTAAAGTATTTTTACTGTAGTTGATAAAGAATGGGAATTTTATTGTTGTGTCCATGAATTTCTTTTATCTGACAGGTATTCTTTTTTTCTTTTGATTTTAATAGAACATTCAAATTAAAACATTGGCAGACGATGTGGTAAGGTGGTCTTAGTAGCATGTTATTTTATTACTTGTGCATGTTGCCAGTTGTCAAAGTAAGTGGACATGAAAGCATCAATATATGTAAGATAGAAAATGGAGTTACAAAGTATAGTATAGTAGTACAGTTATAAATAGGGTGAGCTTCAAAACAAATTATGACAAAAAATTGTATGAGTTGTCACAAAATTTTGTCATCACCCATGATATATTTTGTATAACTGGATTACATACTTTAAATAAACTGTGGTTTTAATTCAGATTCTGATTTACTTTAAATTTTATTCTTTGTTAAATTCAAGTCTGGAAACCACAAATGTTTATCTTTTGTAGACTAGTAAATTGGTCATAAATGTCAAATATTAATATCAATATTGAACGTTATTTAAAATAGAGAAGTTGGGCCAGAGAGTGTAGGGGTCATGGCACTCACATGTGACTGACCCTTCCTTGTATTTGGCATTCAATATGGCCCCTGACTACCATTAGGGGATGATCACTGAGCATGGAGCCAGGGTAAGCCCTGAGTTCTGCCAGATGTGGCCCAACAAATGTTCCCCACCCCACAAAAAAAGAGAAGAAAACATATATGGTCAGTTCATAATTTTTGTAGTATGTGCTATTAGATTTAAAATCTTCAACTATATTTGAGTTTGAGTCTTTCACTTATTAAAAGTCATAGCAAAATTTAGTGTGCTTTTTTTATAGCTAAACTTTAAAAAATGGTTTTTTAAGCAGTGCCACTTTTTTCTTTGTGATATTTCCTTTCCTGTTGTTCCTATATTAGATAACTAATTACTACTAATTATTAGTAATAGTAATTTAAGAATGTGAAAATATATTGCTTAACTTAATTCTTAAAGATTAAGAATTCTTAAAGATTAAGACCAAAGTGGAAGAAAAATATATAGGTAAATTTTGTTGTTCAATAAAAATAGATGTTGGCACTGTCAAAAATAAATATTAATATGAAGGAAAGGAATAGTAAGATATTGATTTAATGGGTGATTTAATAATGTATGCTTTTATGTCCACTCTATCTTTTAGTAAAATTTGAATGTTGGATATATACTCAGCTTATTTGGGATTACTTCAGTTTTTTCCTTATGAGTTTTTTCCAGTATACTACATATCTAAGCCAACTTGATTTTCCTCAGATAAAATAAAAATTTGAAAATATAGTTCAAAATTATTTAAAGAAATGAAATTTATGTTACCATAAATTGAGTCATCCTCCCCCCGTGGAATCAAAGTTGGTCTAGATGATTTTTCTAGTTTCTTCTTATCTCTAAAATATAATTTGGGATGAAGAGATAATAGAACAGATATCAGTGGTGCATGCTTTGCATATGTGGGGCCAGTTTTCATCCCTAACATCACAAGGCACACAGAGGACTACCAAGTAAAGGCCTCTGGGTGTTTCCCTGGAGGACCCTTATGGCCCCCAGAATTACAGTTTCCAAGCTACACCAAATTCTTGAGTCCTAGTATTGAAACGTTTGACCTGGTTGGTTGAGTATCACTGTAAGTGACCTCAGTGTCCCCTGAGTACTGAATTGAGAGGACCCCAAAAATTATGATCAATGTAATCTCTTAATGCAATGAAATAATAAAATGTTGTAATCCTGAATAAGCTGTTCAAACTTACTTCTGTTTCTTTCAAAGTACACCGTTTGATAAAACCTTTTGGAATCACAGTTAAAAGTATATCCTTCTAATGGGGGGTAATACGGTTTTATATAAACTGTGTTAATAATTTTGTGATTTTTTTCTATTGTTATTTTGTAAGAATTTAGTCTCATCACAGTTAACAACCACTGCCCTCCTCTCTAACATGTCTGCATGTTTAATGTGAACCGATGTGTATGCATGTGCTTTCTAACAGAAACCAGAATAAAACTGAGTTGCATTCAGTTTTATAGTCATTACTAATTATATATGTATATACATATGTGTATATATGTTTATACTGTTTTGTCGTGTAAAATAGAAACTGTTTACATACAATTGGAATCGTTAAGTCACTATGTGAAATAGCAATCTGTTAGAGCCTGTACATAGAATCAGTGTGTCAGAGTGAATGTTCATAAAAATAGAATATTCTTCACAATAGTACTTGTATGAATTACATATCCGTGCTATATTTTCAGTAAATGAAAAAGTGATATTTTTATTTTTCTTCCTTATTGGTCCCACTTTAAGAGCATTATTGAGAAGTAATGGAATAGGAACAAAAATAACTAAATAGAAACTAAGCACACTGAGCATATCAGTTTAATTTAAATCTCATGATAATTTCATGGTATAGATAATGCTGTTATTCTAATTTAATTATTCACATAAGTTAGTTCATTATATCTATTTTAGAGATGAAGAAGCAATAAAAAAGACCAAGTAATTTGCCTAGTGTTACTCATTGAGTAAATGGCACATTCAAACGCAGATAGACTGCCTCCATTGTTTTTGATTTCAGCATTTATTCTCCAGCCAGTATTCATTGGCAAGTAATCGTAGATAATTATCACAGACTTGTATCGCTTTGAAGAGAAAAATCACTATAATTTCTCCCTCAGAATTGAATATTGAAAGGTCTTTATTTTTTTCCTTAGTTTGAAAGTTGCTAACACAGATTCATTTTCCTTCAACCATGTGATTTTGAAGGATGACTTTTCTATGTACATTGCAAAAGAAAATGACAAGGGACTAAGTCTTAGTTTTGAGGAGTACTTTTTACACCCCACATGTTTGAAGGTTTCAAAATAGTGCAATGTCTTAACTGGAATTTTCTATTAAAAATAACCATATTTTCAAGACAATAATGCTATATATTGTATGAAATGCCATTTTGACATCTCAGTTCCTCATATGCATGGTTCTTCTTTTTCCTGTTTTCAGCGTGACCGAATTACAAGTTTTAGAAAATCTACTGTCAAAAAGGAGAAACCTCTTATTCAGCATCCTATTGATTCTCAAGTTGCGATGAGTGAGTTTCCAGCAGCTCAGCCATTATATGATGAAAGGTCTTTAAATTTGTCTGAAAAGGAAGTACTGGATCTCTTTGAAAAAATGATGGTAAGTTAGATACCTAATATATTGCAATTTTAAACTATGTGTGTCCAGAATAGCTGTGAATGTTAAATAGTGATGTTTTATGAACTGTGTTTATATCTTATAAAGAAGAGATCAGAAACTTGATAAAACAGAAGTCTTTCCATAATTTTGTGGTTTCTTTTCCTTTAGCGCAAAAATATTCTTACCTGTTTATTTCTTCCAGTGCAGCCACTAAACACAATGGCTATCTTATTTATGGTTTTGTTCCTTAGTATGTACTAGCTTCTGGAACACATAATCGATTTTTTAATTAACTAATTTGTGTTCCTGTTTCTGTAAAGCAAAAACAGTCCTAATCATTTTTTCTAATAACAGGACAAGGTATCTTGTTTGGTACATGAAATGGAATCAAAAGGATTGTATGTAAAAGTAAAACAGTATAAGGGCCAACAAAATAAATTTTTCTAAGTTTGTTCTAATATCAGCAGTCATACAACCATCTTTCCCTAGATATATAGTTACATTATTTCTTATATATGACATACAGTATATTCCAAGGCTGATAGTTCAGTGGGTCAGGAGCTTGTCTTGGAGGCATCTGACCTTGGTTCTATCCCAGGTATCCCTATGGTTCCCTGAGCTTTCCAGGTAAGATCCCTCAGCACAAATCCAGGAGTAAGCCCTTTACACAGCCAGGTGTTATACTAAAACAAATTAAAAAAAGAAATGTAATATTCCATGTATGCTGCAGTTTGTGTTAGAAATCAGGGTGGAAGGGTTAGGGTATGTGGTATTAGATCTGTTACATGAGTTCATGTGGCCAAAGAAGAAGATAGAGCCTGATTTATAATTTGTTCATTTGCAGTTCTATATATTTTACTAATGTAAGATTGTTTTCGTAGATGTCTATTGAGGTTGGCACTACAATTTTTGTTAATTAAGTCATATCCAAGTATGAACCAAAGTGGCTTGAACCAGTGTTAACATACGATTAGGGTATAGGAGTTTCAGAGGTCCCTTCATTGACACCAAAATAAAAGGGGACTGTCACTGTCACTGTCCTCCCGTTGTTCATCGATTTGCTCAAGTGGGCCTATTAACAACTCCATTGTGAGACTTGTTACTGTGTTCGGCATATCGAATACGTCATGGGTAGCTTGCCAGGCTCTCTGAGAGGGGGAAGGAATTGAACCCAGGTCAGTCGTGTTGGCTGCGTGCAAGGCAAATGCCTTACCGCTGACTGAAAATTGTTCTCAGATGAAGCTTTATGTGCAAAAAGAGAATGGAATGATATTTACAAAGCAAAACATTGAATGAAAGGAAGCTCCATAAATCTTCTACCCGATAGGGCTTTAGAATTAAAGGAAAGATAAAAACATTCTCAGACAAATAGCACTAATTATAATTATTATATACCAGCTACAATCGGGATACTGAATGGCCTCAGGAGAAAAAAGCAAAGATTGTAATTATTAGCAACCAAATTCTTCATAGGTGCATAGCAACAAATTATGTATTCATATCAATAATTTCTCAAAATGTCATTGAATTGTACTTCCCCATAAAATAGCACAGTGTCTGGATGGATAAGGAAACAAAATTTAACATTCAGTTTCTTATAAGAGACACTCTGAACTATCAATATAAACTCAGGTCTTAGAGTGCTAGGCTGTAGAAACACTCAGAGGCTAATTGCAGCCTTAAAATATACTGGGAAGGAAATACTTGCATCAGACCAAATAGATTCCAAATTAAAGAAAGCAATAAGAGGTAGAGATTAACATTACATCCCTTAGGGATCGATTAAGGGAAAGTTAAGGAATCCACAGATCAAGAGGACTTAACTGTCATCAGCATACATGCATTGAATGAAGGGCAGTTACGTTTATAAGGCAACCACTGATATACCTGAAGAGATACAAAGATGATGATGGTGATGGCAACATAATAGTGGAGGGGGACCTTAATACCTTACTTCTTTATTTGGCAGACCAACCAGACAGAACATCAGTAAAGAAACAGCAGTCCTACGTGAGGAATTAGAAAAACTAGGTCTAATAGATATGTTCAGGATCCTCAACCATTTATTGCTTTATCCAATCCCATTGGTTCTATTTTGTGACAAAGCACGTGGTCAAGTTTTGAGAATGTCCCTTTTGCACTGGACAAGAATGTGCACTGTATGTTTTGGGGATGTAGAGTTTTATACATGTTAGGTCCATCACTTCCATTTCTTCCTTTAAGGATGGCCTTTCATTTTGAGTTTTTTCCTAGTTTTTCTTTCCATCAGTGATAGATGCATTTAAAATACTCCTCCTATTAAAGAAAATCATCTATTACTGTTGTATTTTTATCAGTATCTTTCTTCAGCTCAGTTGACAGTTGCTCTTAGTATCTTTATGATCCATCATTAGGTGTGTATATGTTTAGAAAATATAAATTCTTCTGGATGTATTAATTGCTTGATTATTAAAGAATTTGGTCATCCTTATCTCTTATAATCTTAAAAAATTTAAGTCTGTGTTATTTAATGTAAGTATGACCACCCAGCCTATTTTCTGGCCATTGGTTGCTTATAAGATTATTTTCATTTAAGTAGCAGAAATTTGAGTTCAGTTCTCTGACTGATTCTGCCACTCTGTACCTCTTGATTGTTGAGTTTAGGTCACTGACATTAATTGAATTAACTGAAAAGAAGGAAGATATGGCCATCATTTTGTAGAAATAATGAGTGCTTGTAAAGTTTTTGTTTTTCGAAGAAGCTCTTTGCTTCTTTAAAAACCGTTTGCAAGCCTATGAACTTCTTAAGCTGTTTCTTGGCTTTGAAGCTTTTTATCATTCCTTCAAATTTGAATGTTCACCTTGTTGTCAGTGGGCCCCAAAGGTGACTTCTGTGAAGTGGGGAGGAGAAAGATGGTCACTTTCTCCCCATCCACCTCTGCCACCTGGGTCCCAGGGTTACTGGGTTCTTGTTTTACCTCACAGAAAAAATTTTCAGGAGTAGACAAGCAGTGAAGTAAAACAGATCTTATTTAGAGGTTTTGAAGGGAAGGAGGGAGAGAAAATGGGAGAGAGTGGAGAGTAACATGCTCAAGTGAGAATCTGGGCTTCCTTCTCTAAGGGCGGAGAGAGCCCCTACACACACCCCAGCATTAGATATAAAAGTACACATCTCAAGAGGGGAGATGTGGGGGACACATGTGCTTGACCATGTGAGTGTGGCGGCAAGCAGCACATGGGTTGGGGAAGCATATGCATGCACTTCTTTTATTCAAGGTGGCTTTTATATGGGTTTTCCAACCTGCCTTCTAGTGGGGGCTTCTACCTAGGTAAAAGTCCATTGCTAAAGAGGTTGCCAAGGGAGATATAAGGTTGGGAGTAGTGATGGTCTTTGAAATTTTGTTTTTGCTGGAGCTTCTCTGGGATGGAGGCTGCAGCCTTCTCTGGGTCTGTTGCTAACCAAGTAAGGGTCTTGTCAGGCCTTGGTTCCTGCCTTATGGCTATTACTTTCCAGGAAAATTACTGCCATTGCCTTGGGAGAGGGCCTTCCCTATTTGCCTGCCTACCTACTCCAACCTCTCTGGATAAGGTATTTTTGGTCAGGTTTTCATTTCACTGAATTTTTTTAAAACCACATTTCACCATTCTCTTCTGGATTCTAGGGTCTCATTTGATAGATTTGCCATTTCTTTGCTCTTTTGTTCTTTCAGTTTTTACTTCTGGTTTTGACTTCTGTCATTTTGATTAGGATGTATCTTGGGTTTTTCTGTTTGGGTTTATTTTGGATGGAACCCTTTGAGCTTCTGAATAAGGGTACCTGTGTTTCTTTACTCTGGGAAATTATTAATTATGATTACTTTGACTAGGAATTGTTTGGTGGCCTCACCTTGTTATTAGGGATGCCTGTGATTCTTGCATTGTTCCTCTTGCACTCCTATGAATCTTTGGTATGTTCATTTACTATTTTCCTTTTTCTGGTCATTTCCTGCATCATGTCATTTAGGTCACTGATTGGTTCCTCAGCTGCTGTCACTCTGCTGCTGAGGTCTTCCACTGAGTTTGTTATTTTGACAGTTATGTTCTTCAGTTCTGTGATTTCTGACTAATTTTCTCATCTATCCTCTCATACTTTCTTGAGGTTTATTGACTGCTTGTACCGTCATTTATTTGAGCTCTTTAAGCATCTTCATTTTGGCATCTCTGAAATCTTTGTCTGAGATGCTTTATCATACATACTGTTTGGAGCTGGTAGAATTTCTGGACTATTTTCTGCAGTAATTGAATTTACTGGACCTCTATGCTACTTCCGCATTATGACTGCTGCTCTCAGAGATATGGCTCAGTTTCTGCTTTTGTATTTACCAGTGCTAAATCCTTACCCCTTTGTTTCAGTTCTTGGTTTTGTTGGAGTACAGAAAATCGTGGAAATTGTGTCCCGATTTAAGGCATTAGGAGGTGGTGGTGGGGGGGAAGGGTGTGTGTGTGAGGGGGGGCGGGGAGATCGGCTATATCTGTTATGCTTGTCTGGCGCCACCTCGTGTCAGAAGCCTTGGCCTGCAGGGCTTCCGTGAATTTATAGTTAACAGAAGCCGGATTTTCAGGCTTTGTGCTGTTGGAGAACTGAAAGCCTGTCGAGGGGGGTTGGTGACTGAGATCTATCTAACCGTTTTCACTGTTCTTTCTTAGCCCCCGTTGTGGGTTCTTGCTGCCAATCCCCACCGTGGGCTTCTGTAGTTAACCCCCGCTTGTGGGTTTCTGCTGCTGGCTGATATAACAGGCTTCCTGCCTCTTTGCAGTTTCTTTGCTCTTCTCCAAGCCCATTGACCAAATTGCCTTTGTTCCAAGGCAGAAATTCACTAGGATCTTCTACTGACTTTTGCACATTTCTTTTGCTCGCAGGCTGAATGGAAAGCTGCATATATTCTGTTCCTTGTTCTTTTGTTTCCTGATGCAGATTATCAGTTTCCTTTCTCCTCCCTTTATCTTCTGAGCAGTTCCCTCATAATACATGATATGTATCT